GAGGGGGAAGACTGTGGGGTCCCTGGATAGTGTCTGAGTTTGATGGTTTTCTTACAGACCTTTCATTACCCAACTAGGTAACGCCATCAGTGTGAAATGGCTTGCAAAGTGCAAGAGTTGAATTTCTTTAGCCATTTGGGTGATTGGATGCCACTCTTGTTTTAGGCTCTCAGGTTTCCTTGAAAAATTGTGCTGGTAACTAAAGTGTGTCTTTTGCTTTTCCCGGGCTTTCTGTTCTTCTCCGACAACGCGGCCATTGTTTAAAAGAGCCCAGAAGTGAAAGCACTGCATGAAAAATTGTCCGCTGTGAATCTCAAAGCATCCGAATATCGCAACCAGCTCCAGTCCACAAAGCAGGAACTTAAGATGACACAAAAGGTAAGGTGTGCCTGTGTTTGCGTGTGCATATGTGTGCATGTGTGAGAAGTGGGCAACAGTGGCCGAGGGGGCAGGATAATTTTCATATCCCCTCAACTTCTTAACTTTTTAACGTTATATTAACCTTTCAATATTTGATTGGCCAGAAGGAGATTAAATATATCTAGTCTTCAACTTGTGTTCTGACCCAAACCTTGTTCCATGGAAACAACCATGAAATAGAGGTAACAGCAAAACCTTTTAATGATTCCTTACAAATTCCTTTCCTTCCCGGTTAAAAGGCTGTTTCAAACTAATTGTCCCTGATAAGAATGAGCCTTGCCAAGGTGGTGCAAGGCTGCCAAGAACACTAGATAAAGTTACTAAAAAATATACTCTGAACGTCCACAAGGCTTGAGTGCAAAAACTTCTTTGCTTCCTGCAAAGAACTCCGGTTTCTCAGCTGGCTTTTATCTCCTAAGGGAGGGGCCATTACCTTGCAGGCTTACTCCTGACTCACCCGTGCTGCTGCAGCTGCACTTTCCTGCGAGCAGCCCTGGGCACAGGCTCCTCGGGGTCCTCTTCCTCACTGCTGCCAGCCTCCACCATCTCCAAAGGCAGCACTCCACTCCCTGATGGTCCTGGCCCCATCCCTGCATCACATGTGGGCTCCTCATCCGAGTCCTCACTCTCCGAGACCTCAGCTGTCCACACCTGCTGCCGGCGAACCACAATAACTTGCAACCACAATTGTGATCAGGACTTAAGTCACTGAGTTGCAACTGAGTTGCACTGAATTTTATGTATTATGATTATAATTTTGGCCACAATCCCTGCAGTTGTTAAATGAATCCTGAGGTCAAAAAGTGAATAAAGCTCCCCCACCCGTTGACTTGGCCAGTCAGAAGTGATCTGCGAAGGTCGCAAATCAGGATCACGTGAGTCTGCAAATGTTGCAGTTGTTAAGTTAGTAACATGGTTATTAAATGAACCTGGATTCCCCCATTGACTTTGCTTGTCGGAAGGTCGCAAAAGGGGATCACATGACACACTCCCCCGGGGACATTGCGACTGTCATAAATATGAGTCAGTTGCCAAGAGTCTGAATGCTGAGCAGGTGACCCTGGGAATGCTGCCATGGCCCTAAGTGTGAAAAGCGGTCATAAATCATTTTTTCCAGTGCTGTTGTACCTTGGAACGGTCACTAAGCGAACTGTTGTGAGTCAAGGACAACCTGTACTAAGGGTGTCAGAGTTTCAAAATCTGGTCATAGGTATCTTTTGAAAAGATCCATCATAACTTCAATCTATCTCCAAGTCAGTAAGCAAGGATTACCTGTACATGCCAACTACCATGCACCAGAATCAAAATTCTGCAATGTTTGTGAGTGTGAAGGCCAGTCGTAGAACCATCGTTAAGTGAATGATGTCGTAGATAACTGATAACAATCAGAGATGGAAGGGACCTTATAGGTTATCTAGTCCAACCCACCGCCCAAGCAGAAGACCCTACACCATTTCTGACAGAGGGCAGTCCAGTCTCTTCTTGAAGGTCTCAAGTGATGAAGCTCCCACAACTTCCAAGGGCAACTTCTGTTCCATAGGTTGATCGTTCTCCTTGTCAGAAAATTCCTCCTTATTTCCAGATTGAATCTGTCCTTGTTCAATTTCCATCCATTATTCCTTGTCTGGCCTTCAGGTGCTTTAGAGCAAGGGTCTTCAAACTTGGCAACTTTAAGACTTGTGGACTTCAACTCCCAGAATTCCTGAGCTAACATGACTGGAGGAGGAATTCTGGGAGTTGAAGTCCACAAGTCTTAAAGCTGTCAAGTTTGAAGACCCCTGCTTTAGAGAATAGCTTGACCCCCACACCTCCTCTCTATGGCAGCCCCTCAAATATTGGAAGACCGCTATCATGTCTCCCCTGGTCCTTCTCTTCACATGACTAGCCAGGCCCAGTTCCTGCAACCGTTCAATGTATGTTTCAGCCTCCAGTTCCCCAATCATCCTGGTTGCTCTTCTCTGCACTCTTTCTAGAGTCTCAACATCTTTTTTTATAGTGCGGTGCCCTAAACTGGATGCAGGACTCTAGGTGTGGTTGAGGATTAACTGTATGTATGTGCATGACACACATGCCTTGCACAAAAGGGGGACAAAGTCACCACCCTCTGGCCTGTGTGCCCCTCAAAAATACTTTTTTTATACTTTGTCACACACTCATTCCCTTCGTATAGTAAGACATTGAATGGAAAAGAGGCCCGGTTGTTGAGATCAGATTAAACCAGGTCATTTTATGTCGCAGTGTACAGGAAGGATAGATCTGAGATATAGGCGGTCCTCAATTTAGGGCCATAATTTAGTCCGGAGTTATCATTAAACCATGAGCATAGCCGATTTCATAACCTATTTTTATTATTTTGCCTTGGGCATAAAGTAAACATGACATTAATTGAACATTGCAATCGTTAAGTGAATCCATTGTCTGCAGTGGGTTTTGGTGGGTTTTTTGGGGGGGCGGGGGGGGGCACAAATCAGAAGTAAATGCAGGTAATCCTCAACTTACAACTGCAATTGAGCCCAACTTTTCTCTGGTTAAGGGGGACAATTGTTAAGTGAATTATGCCCCATTTCACAATCTTTCTTGCCATAGCTTTTAAGTGAATCACTGCAGTTGTTAAGTTATTAAGTGGATGTGGCTTTCCCACTGGTGCTGCTTGTTAGAAGGTTACAAAAGGGGATCATGTGACCTCCAGGAGACACTGGGACTGTCATAAGTACATGCCAGTCACCAAGCATCATATTTATAATGATTACACCACCCTGGGGTCATACGATCCAATTTTGTGGATGCCTGACAAGCAAAATTAGCAATGGTGGCAAGAGAGGTCAAAGATATGACCCCCTGGACAATGCAACCGTCAAAGGTACAAGCCAGTTGCCAAGCACCTGAGTTGATCACATGAACACGAGGGACCCTGCAACGGTTGTGTGAAAAAAGTGGTCACTTTTTTTTCAATGCTTTTGTAACTTTGGTCACTAAACAGATGGTTGCAAGTTGAGGACTGCCCGTAAATAATGACACTTAACAAATAAATTGATAAATAAATTGACAAAAAATAAAATTAAAAAAAATAAATAAATTGTGGTCACCATGACTACAGGATGTGACTGCGGGGCTACCGATACCGAACATGTGATCAGGTAACCACGTGGGTAGCCGTCAGAAATCTGGATCATAAATAACCCTGGAGAGGCGCATTGTAATTTTGAACGTATGCTAAACGAGTGATCCTAAGTTGAAGACTTCCTGTACAATTAGACACAAGGACAGTTTTTTTCCCGAAAGATGGCATCCCTCTGGGATGCCATCCAGGAAAAAACAAATAATGAAACAACTGAGACAACTAATTCCCATAATACTGTCAAACTATTTAGTAAGGCTGTATTACTATTCTTCTTCTCATCCTTCCTGGTATCTACCTCTTCCCACTTATGACTATAACCATGTTGCTTTGTATCTTTTACAATTTATATTGTTTTATTTGTTTCTTAGTATGATTTGATTGTTTATTAGTAACATGACTATCACTGTGTTTTATCTTATGATTCTTGATGAATGTATTTTTATTTTTCTTATGCATACTGAGAGCTTATGCACAGGAGACAAATTCCTTGTGGGTCCAATCACACTTGGCCAATAAAGAATTCTATTCTATTCTATTCTATTCTATTCTATTCTATTCTATTCTATTCTATTCTATTCTATTCTATTCTATTCTATTCTATTCCTGCTTGGCTAAAGGGCTTTTTATGCAAAGCGTTTTCAGCGCTGATTTTTTCCTGTTTTGCTTTTTTTTTTCACTTTCAGCTTCTCACCCACGAAGTGGGTGAAGACGTCAACATACAAAACCTTCTGTCCAACCCCGGCAGCTGGCGAGGACGGGCTCAGCAAATCCTGGTCCTGCAAGGCAGAGTGAGTCCATCTTTTCAAACTTTTTTTTTTTTTTTTTTTGGCTTCCCTGGTTCTGCTAACAATGATTGGCTTAACCCTAACTTCATCGACTTTAAGCTGTGTGGACTTCAACTCCCAGAATTCCTCAGGCAGCAGCCTAGCTGGATCTATAGTTGATTGACATGAGGTAGTCAGCTATGGATGGAATTTGTGAACCACAGTTGCTGGCTTTGCTCGTGACACACCACATAAAACCACAGCATAAGAGGATGTGTCATCCAGGGTGAAATATTTATTGGATATTTAGCCCGCCTTTATTAATTTGTAAATAACTCAAGGCAGCAAGAATATACAGTATCTAATATTCCTTCCTTCTCCTACTTTTCCCACAACAAAAAAACCAACCCTGTGGGGTGGACAGGGTTGAGAGAGAGAGAGGAAAGTCACTCAGTGGCTTTCATGCCTAAGGCAGGGCTAGAACTCATCATCTCCTGGTGTTTGGCCTGTCAACAGCTGGCTTTCATACCTAATGTAGGACTAGAATTCACTCTCTCCTGGTAATTGGTCTAAAGACACCCAGCCAGCGTTTATGCCAAAGGTGGGACTAGAACTCACCATTCCCTGTTGATTCGCTCAAAGTCATCCAGATGGCTTTTGTGACTAGGGCGGGACTAGAACTCACCGTCTCCTGGTGATTGGCCCAAAGTCACCCACCTGGTTTTAGTACCTAGGGCAGAACTAGAACTCACCCTTTCCCAATGATTAGCAGGAAGGAATTTTTCAAACTATATTAACTAGGATTGATGGATATCCCAATGCAGGTTCCTCTATCCTTTAATCTCCTCCTACTGAAAAAAAGAATTTGTACCCTATAAATCAATTTTAGGCCTTCTCTATCCCGCCTATGTAGGTACGGGACTTAGAAACCCAACTGAATTGCCGCAAAAGCAAATTTTCCGAGAACGATGCCAGTGAAGATCCGTTAAGCTTCACCGACCCCAGGAAATCCTCAGCCCAAGTAAAAAACCAGCTGCGTATTCGAACCTTGGAAAGGGAGAAGAAAGAAGCTTTGGAGGTAAGGAATTCTTTCTGTGTGAATCTAGCAAAGCTAATAATTCTGAAATATCTTAACAAATTTCCTGAGCCGTTGGTAGGTGCTCGTCCATCCATAGAGTCAGTGGGCAGAGAAGGTAGGTCCAAGTTTCCAAACCGTTAACCCTAGCCCTAAACTTAGCCATAACTTTAACCCTAGCCGTAACCCTAACTTTATACGTTAACCTTTAACCCTAACACTAATCATAATTCTAACCTAGCCCTAACCCTAACCCAAACCCTAACCCTTAACCCTAAACTTTTAATTCTACTCCTAACTCTAAACCTGTACAATCAGCACAGGGCCCCCCCAAAGGCTGTGTGCTTTCTCCACTTCTCCCTATATACCAATGACTGCATCTCAAACGATCCATCTGTTAAAGTACTGAAGTTTGCTGGTGACACAACAGTGATTGGTCTCATTCGAGACAACGATGAATCCGCATACAGACGGGAGGTCATACAACTTGCCTTGTGGTACAGTCCGGAACAGTCTGGAACTGAGCACACTCAAAACCGTAGAAATGGTGGTAGGCTTTAGAAGAAACCTTCCCATACTGCCATCTCTTACAATACTAGACAACACAATATCAACAGTAGAGACTTTCAAATTTCTAGGTTCTACTATATCACATGACCTAAAATGGACACCTAACATCAAAAATATCATCAAAAAAGCACAACAAAGAATGTTCTTTCTGTGCCAACTCAGGAAGCTCAAAGTGCCCAAGGAATTGCTGATCCAGTTCTACAGAAGAATTATTGAGTTTATATCATCTGCAAACTTCAGTACTTTAACAGAGGGATCTTTTGAGATGCAGTCATTGGGATTTTGAGAGAAGTGGAGAAAGCACATAGCCTGGGGGGGAGGGGCAGTGCTTATTGTACAGGTATCTGGTATGATTCCGCCTAGTTTCACCTGCTGCTTCCTGTCTGTTAGGAAGCTTATGATCCACTTACAAGTGTGGTCAGGTACAGCTAGCTGATTTAGTTTAGTTAGAAGAGTATCTGGAATGCTGGTATTAAATACTGAGCTGAGGTCTACACAAGAGTCAAGATGTTGTAGGACGTAGTGCAGAGTCGTATTAACAGCACCATCTGTCGATCTATTTGCTCAGTATGCAAACTGCATGGGAGCTAACAGCGGATCACGGTTTTTAGGTGGGACAGCACTAGCCTCGCAAAGGTCTTCATAACTACAGATGTTAGAGCAACCGGTCTGAAACCTTTTCAGTTCCTTGATGGAAGGTTTCTTCGGCACTGAGATGATAGTAGAGCATTTGAAGCAAGAAGGAACATAGCACACCTCTAGTGATTTATTAAAGATGGGGGCACAAGTTTTTAAGCAAGAAGGAGCTATCGTGTCTGGGCCTGGTGCTTTTCCTGGCTTTTGTCTGTGAAATAGACCTTGCATCTCATTCTCTGTAATCACCAGAGATGGGGGGGGGCCCAATGGGATAGGGTAGGTTGTAGGAGGCTTGGCTGTTGTTGGTGTGTCTAAGATGGGGGTTGTGGAGATGGGTGGCAGTAGTTTTCTCTCAAACCTGCAGTAAAACACATTCAGGTCACCTGCCAGTTGTTGATTTCCTTCTGCCTGGGAAGGAGGTTTGCTGTAACCAGTGATATTTTTAAGAGTTTTCCACATGTTTGCTGGTTCATTTGTTAGGAACTGATTCCTTAGCTTTTCAGAGTAGCTTCTTTTCGCTGCGCTGATCTCCTCTGTTAGGATTGGGGTTAGCCCTAACACTAATCTCTAATCCTAACCATAATTCAAACCGAATCCTAATCCTAACCCTAATCTTTAATGCTAATCCTAACCCTAATTTTAACCCTAACCTTGTTCTAACCCTAACCACAACGCTAACCCTAACCTTTAATGCTAACACCAGCCCTAACCATAACCCTAACCCAACTCTAATCCTAATGTTTATCTCTAATCTCTAATGTAACCCTAACCCTAATCTATATGAAGGTGATTACTTTCTGGGGTTTACATTCCCATGATGCAACCTTGAGTTTCCTCTCTTCAACCATCCTTTTCAATCAAAAGCTGTTAGCAACCGATGGGGACCAGACAGGCAAAGGCCTTGTGAGGCTAAACTCCTTGGAATCTCTTCCTCCCAGGTGAAGTCTTCCCCCCCCCCCGCCCCACTGGGCAGGATGGACACAAAGAGAAGGGCAGAGTTGAAAGTCAGAGAGTGGAGTCAATCCTTCATCTAAGTTTGGCATGGCTCTGCTGGCCATCACAGAAATAATTTCGGGGTCCTTTGATCCTCAGTCTTAGCCAGGGGTGTGATTCAACCGGTGTAACAACTGGTTGGGTGAGTGTGCGCTTTGCGCAATCGCAGGTGGTTTGCTACTGACCTTCTCCTGCAATCCTGCGCTTCCCCTGCGCATTAAACAGCTGGCATGTGGCAATCCTCTGTGCCACGTGAGGCAGCTGAGCTTGAAAACCAGGAAATAAAGGTCAGAGTAAAGCGAGGGCCGGCGGGTGGGCCCAGCAGATGATCCTTGGAGCTACCAAGCTACCTTGGAGTTCGGCCAAACCGGTAGAATACCACCACTGGTCTTAGCGTCCCTTTCTTCTCTTTCTGGATGACAGAAGCTCATGAGCCAGTACCAAGTCCTTCAGAAGGACCACGAGGACGTGAAGAAGAAGCTGGAGGGGTCTAAAGCCAGGAACAAGGTCCTGTCCAATGAGGTGAAGACCCTGAAGGAGCAAATTTCCACCCTGATGGAGAAGGGGAAGCACGACAACGAACTCGTGGATGCTCTCGTGGTACGATCTGGCAGACGGTGGTATTCCACGCTCGGGAGACTTGGGCCTGGCTGGTGCAGGTAGTCCTCGACTGACGACCGCAGATTGACACACATATGCACCCAAATTTACATTGCTAAATGAGAAATATGTTAAGTGAACTTTCCCCCATCTTACGACTTTTCTTGCCACAGTTTTAAGTGGATCAGTGCAGTTGTTAAGTTAGGAAAGCACGGTTGCTAAGCGAATCTGGCTTCCCCATTGATTTCGTTCGCTGGAAGGTCACAAAAGGGGATCACATGACCTCAGGAGACTGAAAACAGTCATAATTATGAGTCAGTTACCAAGCACCTAAATGTTGATCATGGGACCACCAGGGATGCTGCAGTGGTCCTAACTGTGAAAAACAGCCTTAAGTTGATTTTTTTCAGGGCTGTTGTAACTTTGTATGGTCATTAAACGAACTGTTGTAAGTCGAGGGCTGCCTGTTTTCACGCCGATATCAGCGCGAACTTGCAGGGCCTGGTCTTCTGCAAAGTCTCGGTCAAGTGGTTCCCAACCCATAATTTCCCTGAATTTCCAATCGGTTGTGGGAGATTAGACCATGTTTAGATTTTTAGTTAAAAATTGTGGGGAATAGGGGTGGTTTCCTCTAGGCAGCTGTTTCTCAACCTTAATGACTTGGGATGTGTGGACTAATCAGTGGTGGGATTCAAATTTTTTTTACTACCAGTTCTGTGGGCGTGGCTTGGTGGGCGTGGCAGGCGAAGGATATACTGCAAAATCCCCATTCCCTCTCCAGCCCACTAAACTGCTTTCCAGCTCTGTTCTCCTCTGCAGGGCAACCAAAGAAGACCCAGCCGATCAGCTGGGACTCAATGGGAGGCAGAGAATAGATGGGGGCGGGGGCACTCAGAGGTGGGATTTTGCCGGTTCTCCAAACTATTCAAAATTTCTGCTACCGGTTCTCCAGAACTGGTCAGAACCTGCTGAAGACCCACCTCTGATGGACTTCCAATTCCCAGAATTCCCCAGCCAGCACGCATGGATTTCAACTTTCAGAATTCCCCAGCTGGCAGCCATGGACTTCAACTCCCAGAATTCCTCAGCTGGCCTTCGGAATTGTGGGAGCTTCATCCCTGAAGACTTTCAAGAAGAGACTGGACTGCCATCTGTCAGAAATGGTGTAGGGTCTCCTGCTTGGGCAAGGGGGGTTGGACTAGATGACCTACAAGGTCCCTTCCAATCCTGTTATTCTTTCTGTCTGACTTCCATCCGAGAATTCCCTAGCCAGCATACATGGACTTCACTTTCTAGAATTCCCCAGCCGGTATGTGTGAACTTCAACTCCCAGAATTCCTCAGCCGGCATGCATGGATTTCAAATCGCAGAGTCCTTGAATAAATCAACAAAATGAATAAATAAAATTCCTTAGCTCGCAGGTACGAACCTCAACTCCCGGAATGCCCCAGCCAGCCTACTGGCCATGCAATTCTGGGACTTAAAAAGCCCATGCAAGCTGGATGGGGATCTCTGGGAGTTGGAGTCCATTCATGTGGGTTGAGGAATTCTGGGAGTTGTAGTCCACAGATCTTCAAGTTGTTGACCTGGAGTAGAGTTCCCCAAACTTGGCAACTTTAAGACTCGTGGACTTCAACTCCCAGAATTCCTCAGCCACATGACCTCACCTGTCGGGCGCTCGGGTGCTACCTCATATTTACGACTTTTTGGAGCTTCAAGACGTTTCTGTCATCCCTCAGCAAATAACGGGCTTGTTTTTGTGACTGTAGCATTCACTTAATGACTGCTACAACAACAACAACAAAAAACGGTTGTAAAAATAGTTCCAGTCAGTATTGTCACCTGCTTTACTACCTTCACAATTTATGACTGTAATGGGGAGGCTCCGTTGCAGTCGTAAATCAAGGACCACCTGCAATCCCTATCTAAGAGATACTTTTATTTTTATTCATTGCATTTCTCCAACGGTCCTAAAGTGAGTCTCATAAAACGTAGATTCCTAGAGCGGGAAGGGATCTTGGAGATCGTCTAGTCCAACCCCATGTTTAAGGCAGAAGACTTTCTACCATCCTGGTCAAACGGTTGTCCAGTCTTTTTTGATAAGCTCCAGTGATGGAGGATCCAAAATTGTGGGAGGCTATTCCATTGATTACAGGGTAGTCCTTAACCTACAACAGTTCATTTAGTGACCGTTCAAAGTTACAACAGCATTGAAAAAAGGGACTTATGGTCATTTTTCACACTTATAACCATTACAGCATCCCTATAATCATGTGATCAAAATTCAGACACTTGGCAGCCGACTTATGACGGTTGCAGTATCCCAGGGTTGCGTGAACTGCTTTTGCGACCATATGACAAGAATCCGAGGAAGCCTGATTCACTTAACAACCATATTACTAACTTTAAAAACTGCAGTGATTCACTTAACTGTGGCATGAAAGGTTGCAAAATGGGGCAAAACTCACTTATGTCTCACTTAGCAACAGAAATGTGGAGCTTGGTTGTGGTCATAAATTAAGGATTATTTGTCATTGGAATTGCGGTTAATTGTAGCACCCCTAATTTTTAAATAGTTAAAAGTTAAAAAAACAGTTTAAAAGTCCATTTAAAACATAAAATATAGAAAATTAGGGTTGGAAGGGACCTCGGAGATCTTCTAGTCCAACCCTCTGTTCTACCATTCCAGTTAAATGTTGTCCAACTGTTCATAAGACGCAGAGAGAAAAACAACCTCTCTCCGTCACTTCCTTTCTCACCAGAGCCAACAGAAAGAAATGCAAGGGATCTTAAAAAGTCTGAGCCAGCAAGAAGAGAAGAATGTGGAAAGCGAGAAGGCCCTGGGGAAGAAGTTGAACGATGAGATCCAGAAGCAAAACTGCCTCATTGAGCAACTCAAGCAGATGGTGGCCGAGCGAGAAGCTCAGGTGAAGGAGCTGGAAGAGGTGGTCAGGCAGCTGAGGTTGCAGGTAAGGCGTCTCAGAGGTGAGAAGCGAGGATAGAGGCATGGGGGAATGGCTGGAAGGACAGCAATCAGATAAGAGGCCTGTGCAGGAAAACAGCTTGAGAAAAAGTCTCTCAAAAATTCACCAAAAATTGAACTCAATACCAGGGGAAGACTCACTTTGAGAACCAGTCTGATGTAGTGATTAAGAGGCTGATCTAGAAACCAGGAGATGGTGAGTTCTAGTCCCGCCTTAGGCATGAAAGCTACCATGATAACTTTGGGCCAATCACCAGGAGACAATGAGTTCTAGTCCTGCCTTAGGAATGAAAGACAGCTGGGTGGCTCAGGGCCAAGTACCAGGAGACGGTGAATTCTAGTTCCACCTTAGGCATAAAAGCCAGCTGGGTGACTTTGGGCCAATCACTCTCTCTCTCGGCCAAGCCCACCTCACAGGGTTGTTGTTGTGGAGGAGAAAATAGGAGGAAGGAGTATTATGCACAGTTGAGTTACTTGTCAAATAATAAATTCGGGATAATTGTCTAACTAGTCAATAAATAAATGGAAACCTGGGCATTCAAAAACAGTTGACTGATTTTTCGTAGCAGCGGCATATGCCCCTCCAAGAGGAGAGTGGAATGGATTCAGGTTCCACACTATCTACAGAGTCTTTAGAGGAGGAAAATGAGAATTCAGCACCTCAGAAGGAAGACTATAGCAGAAATGACAGCTCCGTACGGTAGGGAAGCGACGTTCTAAATCCCCAATTAATTTTTTTAATGAGTCTCTCTCAGCTCTGATCATAAATCATTGACTTGAGGTAGAAACCTTTGGCCAGAGAAAAATTTCTCAGCTGGATTCCTAAGAAAGGTGGTTGTTGAGTGAGTTTTGCCCCATTTGACGACCTTTCTTGCCACAGTTGTTAAGTTAGCAACGCGGTTCTTAAGCAAGTCTGGCTTCCCCGTTGACTTTGCTTGTCAGAAGGTCGTAAAAGGGGATCACATGAGCCCAGGACTGTCATAAATATGAGTCATTCGTCAAGCATCTGAATTTTGGTCACGTGACCATGGGGATGCAGCAATGGTCGTAAGTGTGGAAAATGGTCATAAGTTACTTTTTTTCAGTGACATTGTAATGTCAAACGGTCACTAGATGAACTGCAGTAAGTCAAGGACTTTCTGTGTCTATAATCGCCTCAAAGTGAATGGTGGGCTTGCTTAACGACTATAGCATTCACTTATCAACTGCCGTGTTTGCTTTGTGACCCTATGTTCGCTTAAACAACCGCAGCCAAAAAGGTTGTAAAATAGGACGCGGTCACATAACACAACCTCCACTTAAGAGGTTCTCTTCACATGGATTGAAAGCCAACACAGGGAGGCCTTTTTGCCAATGTTTCCACTTCAGGAACAGACAAAATGTCGAAATTGAAGAGCTGATCGATGGCCTTCCATGACTCAGGCAAAGTTGGTTTGGTTTGACAGCAGCCAAGAAAATGGTGGCCCTTTTTTCCCCACCAGGTTCCTTATCCCCTTTATTTTTCCTCAGCGAAAAGAAAAATTAATGAAACTGAAGTCAACCCTCTAATAAAAGAAGATTATTTCCCAGGCTGACAAAACAAGATGGTGAACGTAAAGACAAGTCCAGGCCCTTTTGGGGAGATAAAGGCAAACCATTACCCAAAATGGAAATATGAAATATGGAAAGGATGAATCTTCGTGGCATTAAAAATATTTCTTCATTTTTAACACCAATTTTGCTCTGAAATGGAAATCAATACTTCATGCTACACTGCCTCAAGTTCCTTGAAGGAAAAGCAGGAGATTAAAGTTAACCAAGAGGAAAGAAATCATTCAAAATAAAGATATTTACTTAATCTCTTTAATAAAGGGCAGAGAGCAACTGGAGCAGATCATAAAGTGTCAAAAACCTAGTTAGGGCTTGGATGGAAGACCACCATGAGATCTCAGAATGGAGAAATTAAAAAAATATTCCCAAAGAAAGCAATGCCATATTCTTTCCATATCATTAGCAAGACAAAGAAATTAATTGCTTTTATCTGTTCCTCAAGGAAAAAAAGAGGTGAAATCCAGAAAATATAAATACAACTAGGAATTCTTGGTTTATCATATTGGGAACAACTATAAAAAGGCAGAGCTGCAAAGCTCTAAAAGCACGAACTTTTCAGGACATTAATAAAAAAATCTGCACTTTTGTGGATTGCAATGGCCCATGGAAAAATCATCTTTTTGCAATTCTTTTGAGGATCATAGTAAAATCTCAATGAGGTAAATCTGTCAGAATTTCAAATGACTGTTAAGTAACTTGAGGTGAGGACTACCTGCAATTTTCAAAAAACAAAGAATAAAAATACCACCCTGGAGATGAACCAAGAATTGTAGTGCTTTTTGCAAGTTCACTTCACAGGTGTTGCCAGTTGATACTGCAACTTCCAACTTTGCAATAAAACAGTCAGCAGGCTGAAATTCTTCTGTTGCAAGAGATTTGGACTGAGAAAAATTGCAAGAGATTTGAGCTGCGCAGATAAAAAGAGAGTGGTAGAACCAGCTTTGCAACTTCTCTAAATTCACTGATATCCCTGGGCACAAACTGCTATCTCCTGTCAACTGAGAAAAACCACACCTTAAGGTAACCTCCATGTCTTCAGACATTTTCTTCTTTCTTTTTTTCTTTCTTTCTCTCTCTCTCTCTCTCCCTTCCTTCTTTCTTTTCTTTCATTCAGCCCTCCCTCCTCCCTCTCCTCCCTCCTTCCTATCTTCCTTCTTTCCTTTTCTTTCTTTCTCTCCCCCTCCCTGCTTCCTTTTCCTTCCTTCCTTCCTTAAGTTCCACGTGGCATTGCCACTCAAGTTCAATTGAGCAGCCCTCTGAAAACAGGGGTCACCTTGTCCAGCCATTTACTTAAAAATTTATCCACCTGGTTTTCTGAAGATTTCTCCCTCCTGGCACCACCCATGACTACCTTTATACTACAGGTGTAGTCCTTGACTTACAACAGTTCATTTAGTGACTGTTTAAGGTTTCAATGGCCTGAAACATTACAATCATTGCAGCATGGTCACCTGATCAAAATTCAAACGCTTGGCAACTGACTCATACTTATGGCGGTTGCACTATCCTGAGGTCATGTGATTCCCCTTTGGTGACTATCTGATAGGCAAAGTTAAGGGGGGGAACCCCGACTCATTTAAGAACCCGTCTTAGTAACTTACTGCACTGATTCACTTAGCGACTGCAGCAAAAAAACTGATAAAATGGGGCAAAATTCACTTAACAACTAGCTCACTTAGCAACAGAAAATTTCAATGGTACTCGTAAGTAGAGGACCACCTATATTGGAAGTATTACAAAGACTCCACCATTCCATTCAATGTCAGGTAACTGCAAGGTAGAAATGTTTGCCCTATCTTAACCCTAGGACGTTGACCTACACGATTGCTGTTGCAGCAGCTTGCACGGAGAAACCACAAGCCACGCCAAACCCAGAAAGTCTTTTGTTCTTGGAAACCAGCGTGGGGTTGTGATTTTACACACTAGCTTTGAAGTGGAACTTTAGAGCCTAGAATCAGGGCTGGAAGGGACTTCAGAGGTCTTCTTTCAAACCGTCTTTTCTTAAAAGCCTTCAGTGATGGAACACCCACAACTTCTAAAGAGAAGCCATTCCACTGGTTAGTTGTTCTCACTATCAGGAAATGTCTCCTTAGTTCTAAGATTTGCTTCTCTCCCTGATTAGTTTCCAGGTGTTGATTCTTGTCCTGCCTTCAGGTGCTTTGGAGAATAGGTGAGGCCCTCCTCTTTGTGGAAGCCCCTCAAATACTGGAAGACGGCTATCATGTCACCCCTAATCCTACTCTTTGTTAGACTTCCCATACCTAATCCCTGCAATCGTTCTTCATGGGCTTTATCTTCCAGCCCCCTAATCATCTTTGTGCTCTCCTCGGCACACTTTCTAGAGTCTCAAACCCACTTTTTAAATTGTGGTAACCAGAACTGGATGCAGTATTCCAAGTGTGCACTCACTAGTGACAGAAGACATTGTTGAAAAACCACTACGCAATCTAAAACCATCCCTATCTATTGGACCAGACGGAATATGTGCCTACTTCTTAAAAAAGCTATCCACTGCCATAGCCGAACCTCTAAGCATAATCTTTGAAAAATCTTTCAGGACCAGCTCCTTGCCAAAACTATGGTCACAAGCCACGGTCATCCCCATCTTCAAATAGGGGGACCCCGGCCTAGTTGAAAATTACAGACCAATCTCCTTATGCTGAGCCACCTGTAAAGTCATGGAATCAATTATTAACCAATCCATCATCTTCCACTTAGAAACAAACAACCTAGTCTCTAATAAACAATTTGGTTTCAGGAAAAAACTATCCTGTAATCTGCAACTCTTACACTGCAAAAACATATGGACTACACAACTCGATCAGGGCAAACCAATAGATTCAATCTACATAGACTTCTGTAAAGCCTTTGATTCAGTGGTACACGACAAACTACTCCTAAAACTAAAATTGTATGGTATCTCTGGACAACTGCATAACTGGATAGAAGCATTCCTGGCAAACAGACAACAAATGGTCAAAATTGGGAGCATCCTATCAAATTCTGTACCTGTCAACAGTGGTGTCCCCCAAGGCAGTGTTCTAGGACCAACTCTCTTCATACTCTACATAAATGACCTCTGTGATCATATTAAGAGCAACTGCATTCTCTTCGTTGATGATGTAAAGCTGTTCAATACCACAGACAATACTGCTACCCTTCAAAAAGATCTTGACTATGTATCAGAATGGTCAAACAAATGGCAACTTCAAATCTCAACAAATAAATGCTCTGTCTTACATATTGGCAGAAAAAAATCAGAAAATAAAATACAAGCTGAATAGTGAAGATCTTGTTGATGATCCAAGCTCTGTAAAGGACCTTGGAATACTCACCTCTAATGATCTAAGTGCTAGAGCCCACTGTAACTACATAGCCAAAAAGGCATTAAGAGTTGTTAATCTAATCCTATGTAGCTTCTTCTCTGGTAATATCACACTATTAACTAGAGCATACAAAACATTTGCTAGACCAATACTCGAATATAGTTCATCAGTCTGGAACCCACATTACATATCTGATATTAGCACAATTGAGAAAGTCCAGAAATATTTCACAAGAAGAGTTCTCCACTCCTCTATTTGTTATAGAATACCTTATGCCACCAGACTTGAAATTCTAGAACTAGAAAACCTTGAATTACGCCGTCTTTGGTCTGATTTAAGCATGGTATATAAAATCATACATTGCAATGTCCTACCTGTCAATGAATACTTCAGCTTCAACCATAACAACACAAGAGCACACAATAGATACAAACTCAAGGTTAACCGCACCAAACTTGATTGCAGGAAATACGACTTCAGCAACAGAGTGGTCAATGTCTGGAATACTCTACCTGACTCTGTGGTTTCTTCCCCAAACCCCAAAAACTTTAACCTTAGACTGTCTACTATTGACCTCACCCCTTTCCTAAGAGGTCTGTAGGGGGCGTGCATAAGAGCACCAACGTGCCTACCGTCCCTGTCCTATTGTTTCTTTTATTTTTCTTATATGTACCCATTTCATGTATTCATAACTATGTATATACTTATACCTATTATCTTGTAAGCAATTGACAATTCAAATCAAATAAATAAACAAACCCTTTTAACAAGGGGTGGGATTCAAAAATCCCAGCAACCTGTTCGCTGCCCGGTTGCTGGGTGGGTGTGGCTCACTGGAACTTCCTATTTCTAGGTTCTGGTGGGTCTCCAGGGCTCTGGAGGCACACCGAAGCTGGAAACAAGCCCATTTCTGGACTTCCAGAAGGCCCATTTCCCCCCCCCCTCCCAGAGCCTCCATGCGGACCCTGCACATAACCTGCATCAAAAATGGGCCACCTGGAGGCTCCTGGGAGGGGCGGGGTGGGGTGGACGGGACCAGCTGGTTGGTTGAAATAACAGTTTGGCGAACCAGATGTAACTTTAACATCCGGTTCTCCCGAACTGGTCCGAACCGTTAGAATCCCACCTCTGCTTTTAACGGCTGCCATGTCTTACAACCGTAAATTGCAGGCTCAGTTATGGTCATAAGTCCATAAGTGTTTCTCACTCGTAGCAGCTTTAAGTTGGGTGGACTTCAACTCCCAGATTTCCTCAGACTGGAAGGCTGGGAAAGAGAAGGCAAGGCTGACTGAGAATCCTGGGAGTTGAAGTCCACACATCTTAAGGTTGTAAAGTTGGAGAAACAGTGGTTTATTGTGTCAGTTACAATCACCACAGGTGTGCAAATAAGCTGGGGTGATAATTTACAAACTGCTATAGCTGGACCCACCAAGCCAAGTCATCCTATATCTGGGTCCATTACAGCAACCTGGCCTTCATCTGGATTGCATTCACCCTGACTCTCATGGAGAGCCATCAAATTCAGGTGACACCTGTCATGAAAATTTGGAATTTTTACCTCCAGAAATATGGAATGGAAGAGTGGAGGGGAACTTAAAGGTCATCTAGTCCAGGAGGTGGTGGCCTCCGCTTTCCTGGAGGTGTTTAAACAAACATTGAAGTGATGGGTTCCTCTGCTGAATAACACAGTGGAAAGGACCTCGGAGGTCTTCTAGTCCAACCCCCTGCCCTAGCAAGAGGCCCCATATCATATCAGTCAAATGTCTGTCCAATCTCTTCTTAAAAACCTCCAGTGATGGAGCACCCAAAACTTCCAGAGACAAGTCGTTCCACTGGTTAATTATTTCTCACTATCAACAAACTTCTCCTTTGTTGGAAGTTGGATCTCCCCTTGATTAGTTTCCATCCGCTGCCAGCTCGGGGTTAGACTAGATGATCTCTTAAGACCGCCCCTTTCACCCTTTCATTCTAGGATTCTAGGATGCTCCAAAAGGCTGCATCTTTTGCAAGCTAGAATTACCCCAGGCATGCTTCTGGTCCCACTCTAGTTCGCAGGACCTGACCAGAGATTGTAGGATGAGCTGTTTAGATGCAGAAGTGAAAAATGTGACAGATGTTTTGTGTGTTCCAGGACAGTGTCGAAGATGGGACACACCCTTGTGGACTCTGCAGCGACGTCATTTCCAGCATCTCCTGGCAGGTTAGTGCAAAATTTACTTTTCCCTTCTTCCCAGTGAAGCAATAGTAAGGTTTAACAGCTTCCCATCACCAGATCAACAGCTTCCCATCAGCAAAGTCAATGGGGAAAGCAAGATTTACTAATAACGACCATTAGATTTTTGTCATAAGTCAAGGACTGCTTCTACGGATAAAACACTGATTTGGCTTTTGATCTTCCTCAGGCTTCTTGAAAAGCTAAGCAGGGTCAGACCTGGTTCATTCTTGGAGGGGGGGAAGATCTGGAAAGTCCAATTCTGGAACCCATTAAAAGTGCATGTTATTTTCATGCATAAAAATATGTGTGTGTGTGTGTATGTGTTGTTGGGCTCAATGGTAGTTGTAAGTCGAGGACTACACACCACACACACACACACACACACCTTTTCTCTAGCCAAAGGTTTCTAATCTTGTGTGCCTGTATCTGTGTAGTTCTGGACTTATGACGACAGCTGAGCCCAACTTTGTTGTTGCTAAGCGAGACGGTTAAGTGAGCTTAGTCCCATTTTGTGACTTTTCTTGCCAAATCTGGTAAGTGAATCCCTGCAGTTGTTAAATTGGTCACATGGTCGTTAAGTGAATTCGGCTTCCCCATTGACTTTGCTTGTCAGAAGGCCGCCAAAAGGGATCCCAGGACTTTATGACCATCATAAATATGAGTCAGTTGCCATGCCTCTGGATTTTGATCACGTGAGCCTTGGCATACTGCAATGGTCATTAAATTTGAGGATCCTTTTTTTCAGTACCATAACATCAAACGGCCACTAAACAAATGGTTGCAAGTTGAATACCTGTATCCTCTTAATACAGGTACTCTTCAATTTACACAGTTCATTTAGTCAGCGTTCAAAGTTACAATGGCCCTGAAAAAATGACTTATGACTACATTTACAATCATTTCAGCATCCCCAGGGTCACGTGATTTAGATTAGATTAGATTCAACTTTATTGTCATTGCCATGGATACAGGCAACGAAATGCAGTTAGCATCCAACCAGAAGTGCAAAACAACAGTAAAATATAAATATATGTATGCAAATATGCAAGGCATCTATGAATATGTCAATGGAAAACACAACAAAATGTATGTACACGAGCACACAAGGATAAGTGTGACTGCACATATATGAACATATACAACTGTACAATATGTTTATGGACACATTGAATATATAAGTACAAATGCACAGAGAATTATACAAAATACATCATGTATTATCAAGGGAAGCATCAGCATATGTGTGGAATAGAATAGAATTCTTTATTGGCCAAGTGTGATAAGACACACAAGGAATTTGTTTCCTGTGCATAAGCTCTCAAAGTACATACAACAACAGTGATAGATCATTATTAAATTTATAATATAGTTAAGTATATAATTTCCATTCAAATTCTGCTTAATACATTATTGTAAGTGGGAAAATAAAGTAATAGATTTATAATAACATTTAGACAATAGCAAAATAAACTCCATAGCCAAACCTTAAACGTTTTACACATTCCCTTATATTTTATTAAATGTTAAAGTCTATCATTATTAAGCATTTTAATGTTTAAATATTTTTAAATCTTATAATATTCCAATTTACTATTTCAAATACAAATACTACTATACTATCTTGTGTGCTTTTGCAGAATCTTTTTTTTTATAATTGTACTTTACCCTTTATCTCTGAAAAAGATCTGCTTTTTTGCATCTTGTTTCAAGCCTTTGTGGCTTTTTTTCCCTTTTTCCCTTCCTTTCTTCTCCGATCTGGCCGTTTTACCCCCCCATCTCCTAACCTTCGCCTTTTTAGCTTCCCCTCTCTGTTGTATTCCTTTTTTCTGTTGCTTTCTGACATTATATCGATTTTTCACCTTATTTTTCCCTTTCTTGGTTGTTTTCTTAAATTTTAAATTCTCCATTTTCCTTCCCCTCTTATTTTCTTTCTTAATTAAAACTTTTTGTCCATTAAAGATGGCTTCTTCTTCTTCTTCTTCTTCTTCTTCTTCTTCTTC